TAGATCTAAAAAACAACATCAAAATCAATCAAGGTATTATCAAAGCAAAGAATATAGCAAAGAATATTCTGAAATATTAGGTACCCTGACCAATATCTTATTTTTTATGTCCTAACTTATTCCCATAAGATCTGAGGGGCTTACAGAAAATATACACCATTAAGTAGTGAAATACAAATTACAATGGACATCAGAGCCAGGAAAAATACAACTGAGAGAGTATGTAGAGGAGAGGTTAACAGGCCACCAGATCTTCACAGTTGCAAGAGCTGAATTACCCATTTGATTGTATGCCTCCCGGTGGCCTTCTCCAAGAAGCCAGAGGGTAACACGTGCTGGGCATCTGTCACTCCATATGGGGGCCTCCCTTCAGGCAGGTCCGGGTCTGTACCTGGCCCTTGTGTCTTCCCACCGCTCCTCTGCCGCCCTGAGTCTGCCACGGGAGCTGGATCCTGGCTGTTCCCCCTGGCCAGCGAGCCCTCATGAGGCAGGGCAGTGTCTGGCCTATTTATCTTCTGGTTTCTTTTAACTTTTGAGTGAGAAATAAAAGAACTCACCATGAAATGACTGAGATAAAATAAGACCCATCTAGAGATCTGATGCCTAAATTGCCACAATAGGCACATGCAAAATAATAATAACAGTAATAATAATAATGATGATGATGTTGGCCATTAGTCATGGCTCCCGGGAACTCTTCTGCTAAACTATAATGTTTAGTCTCCCATTCCAACCTTTTTAATGGAGATTTTTCCCTCTGAACACTGTGCCCCGCCCCTACCCCAACGAGTGCAGTCTTCTGCGGACGCACTTTCCCCCAGTGGTCTCTCTGTCAAATTTAGAAGATGAGCTACATTATGGTACTTTTGCAACTTACATTTTTAAGGACAATAGTTTACCAAGATGGGGAAAAAAGGGATGCAGTTCACAATTAAGGAAATAGAGCTCTATTAAAGGGTCCCAGAGGATTTGTTGAAAATTCATGTCAAATACTAGAAGGTCCTTGAGTTGCCTGTTGAGGAGAAACATAAAACTATGAAAAAAAAAAATCACACCTTCTTCATATCCCAGATGAAAGGCAGTTGGAGAAGTAGATGGGATTTTCAAAGGGACTGTTACATGCTTGTTGAAGTTAAACCGTGTTTCCAGTTGTGATGACCATTAGTCGATCTCCAGCACTCTTAGTAAATTATCTAATGACACCGACGCTCGTGACATCACAGTGTCAAGCACTGCCCCTGCGCCTCCAAGGAGACTACTGTGCCCGTCCTGCCTCTCCCCCCACCCCCGGCGGAGTTGGCTGCCCCTTCCCTGGAATGCCATGGTCACTTCTGCATGTCCCCTGTCTACAGCACCGGTCTCTGCCTTTGTCGTCCCATTGACTCAGAGACCACAGCAAAATTGACTTTGCATGTCCAGCCTGGTGCAGGGCTTGGGAAGTAAGAGGTATGGGATACGCATCTTCTGAACTAATACAGCCCTGCGCCTGAAACAGTAAGCAACTAAAAACGGGTTAAGGTCCTTGATATGGAGACTTGGGAAGCAGGAAACATCCTTCAATGAGCAGAGAATGGTGAAGAACATTCTCAAGTGATCACATAGTGGCAGTTCTAATATTTCTGGAGACCCGGGTGTCTTTGAGAATCCAGTGCACTTTCAAGTCTCTCCTAAGAAGGATAAACTCTGGGAGTTTGCAATGCATTTTCAGAAGATCACGGGATCTGTGAAATGACCTTTGACCCCATGACTGCTGCAAAACCAGGGGCCGACTGAGCCCCAAATAGGAACTTTTGCCTAAAAATAAGAGCATCAGCTGGTTGTGTAGTGAAACTTACATTTCTTTAAGAAAAAGGGGCAGTTTGAACAATTAGACTTCACAGCCTGCTTGTCCCAGGAAGCAGCAGGAAGCCAGCGGGGATGGGCGCAGCGGGCGAGCCCATAATGACCTGTAGCCCTGGGGCCAGGAAGGGCCATTGCACGGGCTGAGTCTTTTTGCCTTGGGCAGAGAAAAGCCTTAACCTTCATTGTACCTTCTAAAGGACTGTGTTGCTCCTCCTTATTTGTCAAGATACAGAAATAAAGAGCACGCACTGCTTTAAAAATTATTCTACATGACAAGAATCTTTTTAAACGGGACACTTAGAATCCAGGAAACTGAAAGTGCTCAGCAGCTCCCAGGAGGCCCAAAAGGGGAAGTTTCTAATCCAATTAAGACAGCAGGGACAAAGACCTGGAAGTCCCTGGTTTCCAGAGTTCCACGGCTAATTTAGTAGCTCCTGTCTGGAAGGAGTGATCTCAGCTCCTACAAGGACCTTCCTAAGGGCGGCAGGTTGCACCGTTCATTCTTTCCATCTCAGGTATTAAGAGAAGCTTTTTAGTAGGTCGTCCATGAAACACCATTGGCCTGGATTCAACCTAAAAATGCACTCACTTTTATGATATAAATTAGGCATAAAATGCACTAAAAACTGTAAGAAAAAATGGTACATGTGTCATGAAGACAACTGAAACAATAGTGAGTCACGAGCAGAAGAATAGGAGGAGGGAAGAGAAACAGGCGGATTGGAGCAGCTAGGCCACCGAGAAAAACGAATGGGGAGGGGCGCAAGCTGGATCACACGGGAACCATTTCAAAGGAGAGCAAAGAGAAGAGCTATCAGGCCGAGGCAGCAACGAGTCCGGAGCACAGAGGGAAAAGAGCGAAGGAGAACGTGGGCTTCCTGGAGCAGGCAGGTGGAGGGGAAGTGTGGGCAACGCAGGTGTGCCACACTGGGTTTCCTGATCGAACCAAGAGCCAGCCCACAGAATGGTCCAGGGTCGTCTGTGTGTTTGTAAAAATTCATAAGCAGATGTGAGAATCCATGCAGAGTAGAATCTGTGGCTGGCTGTCTTTCTCCTACACCACTCCAAACGCGGAGAGTTTATCGAGGCCTTGAAGAGGAATAGATCTGGGGGTCGGAGGCCTAGGAAGGACGGGGTGGGGTGGGGTAGGCGGAGGGTCCACTGCATAAGGGGAAATATGCCTCAGGGCAGGTGACGAGAGGAAATAAAACCTAGAGGAGCCCGGTGGAGCTTTCACCCTAGGAGATGGTGGCCTCCAACAGCTTTCTAACACAGAGGTCACACACCAGAAGGTTCATCTGTCCCTCACCCCGAGCTCATCCATCACAGCAATGTTTCCAAGCAACCCGGGTTTAAAACACACACACAAAAATATTACTAAAATCAGCAAAATGCAACTGTGTTTCATGGAAAGGCAACAGGAACAATGAATCTTCTCTGTTTGAAAACGCATACGATTGGGCCACTGAGTCACTCAGAGAGCTCATCAGCACCCATGATGCCCCCGCGGAGCAGACTCTGCTAAACAAAGGTTAGTTTAGTTATTTACCCCCAAATACTACACAAAGCAAATAACACGTGGAAGGGGCAGATTTAGGAAAAGGAGGAGGGCTAACTAGGGAGAGGGCGGACAGAGTGAAAGTGATGACAACACAGCCCAGAAGCGGAAGCGGTTGACTGAGGTCGGGGGAAAAAAGAGCGTGGTACTTCCTAAAATGCTTCAGCATCCCTTTCTTTCTATGAAACAGTATAAATATTCACAAGGCAGTGGTCATGAAGGAACACTTAAAAAATTAAGTGTAGTGGCACTGAAACAGGTCAAGTATATTACCGTCAACTGGAATGTGTAGAAATTTAACACTGGGCTCTCAGCAGTAACTTTTAAAAAGGAAATGTTTGGGTAAAAGCTGGTGACAACAACCCATTTTGTCTCTCAAAGACACAGAAGGGACCCCTGTGCTCTGCTGCTCAGAAACATCCAAGTTCTTTGGTCTTCAGATGAGTACATGGGATCTACTGGCAGCAAAGGGCAGAGAGGGGACAGTTGGTCCCTGCCACTAAATTCGCATTTGTTCCCCAAACGGAGCAGTAGTGACTGAACACAGCAGCACAACTCTGGGGCTTTCCCTCCAGTGTGGACGCTTTCTCCCGTCCCCCCAGCATCGAGTTGTTCCCCTGCCCAACGGAGGCCACTGTCCCCTTCAAAATGGGCTTTTACTTCTTCACTAAAATGTATTCACGTCTACAGAGCCTCCATATTACGAAAATGAATTATTTTAAGAAGCTGCTTTGAAAAAATTTAAACAAAAAGAGCATTAAGCACATGTCAACGCAGTAAGCAGAAGGCTTCCGCAATGATTACAGATAAATCTGGTTTCAGATAAAAAGATTTTGCACCACGAAGTAGCTGGCAGTGTGTAGGTGTAAGTCAATTTCTTGCAGTGAGAAGCCCAGCCCCTCTTCCTCAGGAGAAGCTTGTGCTGCTGCCTGCTGCCTTTAAAGGGAACAACAGCGAAGGCCTGGGAGCTTCATCACAAAGCCACACACGACACTCAGACAGCTCTAGTTAGGGAATTTTAAAAGGTACCAGATCACACATTTTCAAAATGGAAAATAATGGTTTAGAGAAATAAAGGATGGTACTCAAAATCATTGCCTCCACTTCGTAACCGGAAGTGTAGTTTTTGAGAACTTAGTGTCATTTAGTTATTAATGTATCTCATATATTAACATATCAAAGTAAACACTTAAAACTATTCCTCTAGGGAACAATACATTTCAAAGATAAATTTTTCCCATGAAATTATTTGTTAGCCAATGATCTCGCCGCCTCACGTTGCCCACAATTCTTGGAGAAAGCAGGCAGGAGAACTGGAAATTCGGTAACTGACATTCAGAGCATTAAGCGGCAGAGGTCCCACACCCGTGACACTTTGGCCAGGGCTGGGAGACAGTCTCAGGAATCCGGAGGCCACACTCTTTCCACTTTGAGCCACCCTGGAAATAACACCTTAGAAACCAACTTCAAGCGTAAGCGGAACCTCCCCTAAAACGGAGGAAATAGTGTTGATGGTCAGCACCCAGGTTATGCTGGCCAAATTCCTTCCCCACTGTCTCCATCCCCAAACCGAGCTGGGCAGGAGATCCCCGTGACTCACCGATGAAGTGATTGGGCCCCACGGCCAGCACCTCCTCGGCGAGGACCAGGCCCCCGGGGGCCTGGAGCAGGGTCACGCTCCGGCCGTCTATGAGGGAGCACTGCTGGAATCCCGTGGCCGTGACCTTCCACAGCAGGATCAGCGATGCGGCGGCATCTTGCCGGATTCTGCAAACAGGAATGATGTCAATGGAGAGTCCCATCTGGAAAAACTGGTCTGAGAGCCAACCCATCACAGTGAAAATACACATAAAGACGACAGGCATATCCAGAAAGGTATGGGCGGGAGGAGGGGGCGGGCATCGAGGAAATGATCTTACAACTGAGCACTGCTCTGTGCGCACTCACGTCTGGCACTTCCCACACCGGTGAGAGATGCCTCGGGAACACTTTTAATCAATAATGAAGAGAGGTGTATGGAGTTCTTGTAGAAACAACTCCTCCGTCTTCCAACAATCTAAAGGACCCTGCTCGAACGCACTGCAAAGGGGCAATGCATCCCAAAACGGCCGCCTGAGGTCTGCTGGCAAAACAAGTGAAAATGTGTCCCCTCCCATGCTTCAGGTCTCCCCTGGCTTTTCCTGGTTTTCAGGATAAAATCCAAAGAATGAGATGCCCTAGGAGACTAATCAACCGTGGCCCTCAGTTTCCCTCTCAGGCTCAAATATGGCACCTCCATCCTTGCAACCCAGTCCTCAGGCACCAGGATTCCTCTCTCTTCCCCACACAGGGGCAGGGCGGGCGGCTCCCAGCCTCCGCCTCCCCCGCCCCTGGGAGACCTGTCACCCTCAAGGCTCAGCCCCTCATCACCTCCTCTCTGAGACCTTCCCTGCCCTGCGCTCCAGGGTCTCTACCCTGGGGAGGGGGGGGGAAGAGCGGCCGCTCCCCTCAGCGCAGGGCTCCCCACTTGCAGCAGGTGCTCAGCCAAGGGCTGCAAAAGGAATGAATTCCTGAATAACTCAACGTGGAAGGGCTGAGTAGCCTCACAGGGGAGGGCAGGGCGGCCAGAGATCATTCTGCCCTCCGGTCTCCCTCGGCCTGGCTCAGACTCTGCTATTTCTGCCCGGCTCTGCCGCCTAAGAGCCTCTTGGAGAATTTCAGGTTTGAAGATTAGAACTATTCAAATAGGCTTATGGAAGTAAGATAATACGACTGAAACCAGCGATTTTCAAGCGGTGCGCCACTGGAATTTTTGAAAACGTGCAGTACCTGACTCTTGAGTCAGGGGCACTGACCTCTTTTTCCTTTGATTGTCAAATTTAAAAAAAAAAAAATGACAAGATCCAACACAGCAATTGCCGTCTGGTGTGAATGAATCAAAATTATACTTTATTTTTTTTTGTCTGATCGCCAAAAAATGTATTTTGGGGGTGTACCGCAGAATTTCAGTAATTAGCTTATGTGTGCCATGGATGAAAAAGGCTGAAAATCTCCGACCTCGACAAGAAAGGGCTGGGAGAGGGTTTCCTAAACCCTAAAACCAGCACTGCATGGTGAGCAATGAAACACTTAGGACTGGGCTCCCCCTGCTGGCAGAACTCAAAGCTGCCTCCGACGCCACACCTGTCTTGCTCCGGGGAATTCCTCCTTGTGCCCAGAGTTCACCATCCATCCTGGCTCTCCCCGCCTCCTTTCCCCACCAGAGTAAGTCAAGGCTTGGGGGAAGAATGTGGGCACAATGTAACAAAGTCTCTCTTCCAAACATTTTTCAGGGACGCCGATGTTGAGAAAGCACCGTGGGCAAGAACAACCCCGGGTACACCGAAGAGGTCTGTGACGCCCGCTGCTCCCTCAAAAGGTAGCATGCTAGTTCATCGGGGCCCTGGTCCCTCATTCTTCTAAAGTCCTTGGAGACTAGACAGCAAATGACCACTGGCTGCATGGGGCGGGGGCGGGGGCGGGGGCGGGTAGAGGGGGGTTGTAGTTAATAGCAACAGAGAAGGTCAGGCAGCAAGAACTGCCAGACAGGATGGGACACTAATGCGGGCTCCCCCCGAGCCCCCAGTGCGGCACAGGATCCAGCACACAGCAGGTCCCCTGCCAGGCTGCTTCCCTCTGTTTGGTCCCCACCCCACCAGTGACAACGGGCAGCGTGTAACTTGAAAGAGCTTAAGTTTAAAACAAAACAAAATGCTCTTTTCTCAGTTGTTTCCTTTTAAAGAGAATATTATGTTTACACTTTTTTTTAAATTTAGGGTAAACTGTGCACCAGAATTTAACCAATGGTCCATTAAAATCTTAAGAGGCCAAAGAATTCTGGAAGCAAAAATCACTTGGGAAGCCAAGGGCTCTGGATCTTATCGAAGGCCTGCGGGCTCCTCCTCCCACGCCCGACTCTGACAGGGCCCTCACTCGAACCGGCTCTGAAATAAATAGCACCTTCGAGTTTCTGAGTGGCATTGGCCACGCGTGCACATGAACTCCAATCACAATCCTCCCTGGACGGACCGGTTACAGACCAGTTACATGGCCAGGCACAGCCGCGTGCAGTCAGAGTATCAATCTGAACAGTTTTATCTGAGGACTTCCTTACTTGACTGAGGTGTTCTGGGGCACTTCAAAGGACGCCAGCCGGCCGCCGGCAGAGCTGTTAGAACTGGCGTTCCCACAGGCAATGTCTGGGATCACCTGGGGGGGAAACAAAAACAGAAGATGGGGGTTGTTCACAGCACACGATGATACTATAAAGCAAAATGCCATGCGATGCATCCCACGGTTCAGTTCCTTCAGATGATGCTGGGGCGGGAACAGGGAAGGGCAAGTGAGAATTCACCAACTCAGAAGCGAATGAAAGCCTTGCTATTTTAGTCTCTAAAATGCAAAAGGTTTCCTGGGAACAGTCTACCCATTGCCAGGACTGGGACAACTAGTAACAGGATACCCCAGGCAAGGGCCCAGGGTTCACTCACTGCTCTTCCATCGAACAAGTGTCCCTGGTCTCTGCTCTATGCTCAGGCTGCGGGTCCCAAAGGACTAAATGCTTAGAGAACAAGGAGGTGGCTGGCCTTTAAGGACTAGCTTTCACATGGCAGGTATAAATCTTAATGAATAGGAGAGTGAGACTTTAAATGAATAACAAGTGCTTTGGCTGGATAGCTCAGTTGGCTAGAGAGTCAACCCAATACTCCAAGGTTGCAGGTTCGACTCCCGGTCATTGCACATACAAGAATCAACCAATGGATGCATAAATGAATGGAACAACAAATCAATGTGTCTCTCTCTCTCTCTCTCTCTCTCTCTCTCTCTCTCTCTCTCATCAATTGTTAAAAAATAGACAAGAAGTACCTGGTCTGGGTGACCTTGCTCTGTGCAGAGATGTGTCTCAGGAGTGCACACTAATGCAGGTAACTGGGAAGCTGCCCTACTTTTCCCCTGTGGACTACACCTTTATTTTTTTAAATGGCATAGTCTCAAAAACTATCACACTGATGTGTACAAAAAAAGGAGCTGGCAGTTGGAGGGGGAGGGGATTGTGCTCATCAGAAAGCACACTGGGGACACCTGCACTGTGTCCAATGAGGTGTTTCTGATCAATTCACTCCCTTATTCCTCATGTTGTGATCACCATCTTCACCCATGAAAGTCAAAATAAAAGGGTATTCAAAGTACCCCCATTCCTGAATTAACCAAGAACAATACAGAAATTCTCCGCACTTTCACCCCATCCGACGCTTAGAACTTACTGTCCAGAAGGCTGACTGGACAGTCAGATGCTACAGATAAAATCCACCATGGATATTCAAAGACACAAGTCCAACTTGATCAGCTTGTATAACTGACAACTGTCCCATAAATTTTAGTCCCTAGGGCTCCAAATAGCCTCAGGCTTCCAAAGCATCATCACTGCCTGAAAAGGGGAAGTGTCTTCCTCTGGCGCTTTTAACCTGCTTCTGGAACAGCCTCAGAAATACCAGCAGGATGGGAAGATGAGGCGTTTCTTTTTTACATTTACCAGCTGTAGGACAGCATGTCTTTAAGTAAATAGATTGAAATAGCTGGTTGGGAAGAAATTGTCTCTGAAGGACACGTCCTTGGTGAACATGGGACCACATCTACTTCACATTCAAGACGTGAATCTTTCAGCAAAGAGGTATTAAAATCATAACTTCTAAGCATTTATTAAAAGTTTGAAATCAGAGCAAGACCACAGTTTTTAGGTAGGCTAAGAACACGGCCCTGCAGTCTGAGTGTGGCCTTCATAAACTGTGGCAATGAAAAAAAAAAAGTGGGTCAGCTGGCTATAATTACCCAAGAAAATGAAAGAAGAAATGCTGCCTTACCTCTTTTTATAATAAGGGAAATTTCTAGACACATTCCTTCACTCTAAAAGTGCTACACAAAGATCTATGTAGTTTTTTTTTTCATTTAAGCCATAAAACCTGTAATAAAATACAACACCACATCTACATGGATGTCATATAAACTATAAAATATGGAACGAAATTACACTCTTGTTGTCACCTCAAATTCATGATTTCAATTTATTCCCAAATTCTTCCAGCTAGCAAATTTATATTCTACGTCAATTCTTAGGGGTATGCTGAAAATTTTATATTTTATATGATGAGACTTTTGATGAGCTTGAAAATAGAATAAGCAAAACTCAGACTGGCCAAGGTTCAATAAATAGAATTTGCTATTGCCAAATTAAATAAAATCTGCAGATTTCATTTTCAAATGCATCCTCAAAATAGTTTAGAAAGCAACAAAACAAATGAGACAAACAAAAACTCGTAGACACAGGAAAAACAGGGTTGAGGGAGGCAGAGAAGGGGAAAGTGGGTTAAATATACAGTGAGAGAAGGAGGCTTGCCTTTGGGTGGTGACAGACAATGCGATATATAAATGATGGATTGTAGGCTTGTGCACCTGAAACCTATATACTTTTATTACTCAATGTCACCCAATGAATTCAATACAATTTTTAAAAAATCAATGGTAGCTTTTTTTTCCCTCTAAATCCCACTGAAGTGCTGCAAGGCACAAAAAATAGAACGAAAACAATAACAAACAGACCAAGAAAAAGTTGAGCACAATATTCCACAAGTAAAACCAGGTCAACAATGGAGGGTCTGTGACCCGTTCATTTATATGACTCTTCATCAAGGTGTCTGCCCCCAAACCTAAGACCATCTCATAAGAAATGTATACAGACATTGTTCCCCAAAACAATTTCGTTCCTTTTCTTTTCTTGATTACTCTTTTTATGCTCACAAGACAACCATAATCCAAATGTCTCATCTGTGTAATCGAGAGAGATTTCCCAAACCAGTGCAGGCGGGAATAAGGTAGGCATGTGGTTTTGTCCACCAGGTAACCGAAAGGTTTTGCATTTTTACTGCTGATATTAGAACTGCTGGAATTGTTTCAACCATACTAATGTCTTACATAAAAACATATGCAACAAGACATTCTCACCTCCACCTGATCCCATTTCATTTCTACAACTTTCTGCCCGGTTTTCGGCTGCCATGTCGGCAGAGTCACCATTGCCTGGGAGTGGGACAGGGTGACGTCAGGCTCCTGGGTAGCAGGGACAGGCTGAAGCTGTCGGGGGGCCATGGACTCGGTCCAGCCAGAAGTTGGGAGGCTGGGAAGTGCCTGTTCACAGTTGGGACCTTCATAGCCTTCAGCACAAATGCAGAGGTAGCCATCGCTGCTGCCGCTGCTGCTCCTGCTGCAGTTGCCATGGTGACAAGGGTTGCTGGTGCAAGGATCCACCACGAGCTGAAAAGAGACCATAAATGGGTCAGTTATTCCCTCACAAGAAAAGTGGTGCCATTGCTGGGAAATTAGCGCCGTGTCTCAGAGCTGCAGTTCTAGTGGAAACACTGTTCCTGTGGAAGCGCACGGTGGAGCACACGCTCTTCACCATCCGTGCTGCTGGGGGCGGCCTCCCAAGGTCACCCCAACATTGACCTTTCCACAGGTAACAGGTGTCCAGCAAGGGCATATATGCAGTGAAGAAGAGTCTCCCAAACCCAAGGCCCTAAACATTGTGGATTTCAGGAACACGTTGTTTAGAGAAATTTGCTAAGGCAAAAAGAGTTAAAATTGAAACTTATTAGGAAAATATCACCTTTGATACTTGTAGCTGCCTGTCATGACAAATGATACTAGGGCTCTGAAGTGAAATTGCCTTTTACGCCTCCTGGACCATCGCAAGGCTTCCTCCTGCCCAGCTTATTGCTCCGACAGATGCGCTTACTTTTGTCCCCCAGTTTCCTGCCTGATGAACAAAGCTTTTTAAGATGACTTTTTAAAGGACAGGTTTCCAAAATAATGAGCATGTGTGACAATTAAAAGCTAGTCGAGAGCATGGGGGCAACGAGTATTAAGCACCATCTTAAGAAATTTCTCATTACTTTGGAGGGTGATTACAGGGAGAGGTGACCTCACTGGATACAGAAGATAAAAATTCCCTTGCATGTCTTTCAGCTGCGTTCCCGCTCTAAGTGTTTATCTTGGAGTCCTTTGTTGACCTCTGAATGGCTCTCTGTTATTACTTGGAGATGCAGCGAAACAATGAGAAATGCAGTGATGCTTCTCTGGAGACGGCCCAAGGGTGCAGGCGTGTTCTCCATACTTACTCAATTATCATTTGCTGCTGTGATAACAGAAAATTAGACCTCTATCTGATGCACCCCTGGCTCCTCAGGGCTGATCACAAAATAGAATTCAGGAAAGACTACACTACAGAGCAATGGAACCCCGGTTTCTCCTATTGAAATGGTTCACACATAATTCTGCATGGAAAAATGGCTATTCGTTCTGCTAATTAGCCTCATCAAACAGTTTCCGGCAAACTCCTTGAGGACCATTAAGGGGATCTGAATTGAATAAAATGAAGCTCCAAAAATACTGCATTGTTACTTCTCTGCTATTATTTGGCAATTCCTTCACAGACTATCAGAAAAGAGTAGACGAATTGGTAACCGAAGAGAATATTTAAACTGTAAATGAGTTTAAATATTAACAATCTGTATCAACTCAAAGTAAAACCCAACTCCTTCCATGGGAGACAAAGTTTCCGTGGGAGGAAGGGGCACCTTCTTACCCCGTCGTCCTCTCTTCCCACACAAGTTCCTCCTCCCCTGCACTGTTCCCTCCCTGCTTTCTTTCTGTCCCTGGCCTATGCCAAGGTCACTGCTGTCCCAGGGCCTTTGCACCGGCCGGGCTCTCGGCCTGGAATGCTTCCCCCCAGACTCTGCATGGCTCTCCGCCTCCTTCCACAAAGTGAAAGCGCAGCTGCAGAGGTCGCCACTGCCACCGAATCCCACAAGGCTGGAACTATATGCAGGAAATAACCAACCTGTCAAAAGGCATGCGATGTTTTCCCGGTGCAAGCTTAGGACCAGCTGGATACAAAGCCCACCATTTTCCTCTTATGCAGTGCTGGGTCCACGGATAAGACTTGAAGGGATACATTTCTCACCTAAAATAACCTTTCTATGATCCGACATTTTACCATTATCATTTTACTCTTGATCACAAAATACCGGAACAAGCCCGGAAGGGGCCCTGAAAAGACCCTGGAGTCTCATTTTAGGATACTCTCCACAAAACAGTTTTCCCCTCTCTCTAAACTCCAGTTCCTTGATCTGTCAAAATGTATACCTTTTATTTCTCAGAGTGGTTATGAGGACACAAAAGAATTAGCAGAGCGGTCTACATTTGCCACCAGGGCGGGGGCGCACAACACAATGACTCCCGAATTTGGGGTTCAGGGCTTCTAGGAAGTTAGCAATGAGCAATTGTGACCCTGAAGTAATATGACACAGTAGAGAAAACCCGGGGTCCCGGTCGCATTTGTGGGTCATCCTGCACAAGACAAGGCGGTTTCCTGGGACTCAGTTTCCTCAACTGTAAAAGGAAAGAATGGGACTAGAAAGCTCCACTGTCCTAAATCTTTGGTTTCTCAGTACAAAATGGGAATCGCACTGGTTAGAAATATCATCTTCATGCTGAAAAGCAAACGAACAATGTTGGGGTCCTACTGTCTCAGTGTTTTCATCTGAAAAAGGATATTTTTCCCACTTTGTTCAATAATGATCTTCACTACATTCCAATGCCAACTGCTTACCCGCTAGGAGTAGGATGGGGGGCGGGGGGAATCACTATGGTGTTTGTGCCAGTAGGAGACTCAGCCAAGAAATGCATCTCATGAATTTTTTTTTTCTAAATCCAAATAATAAAAAAACTCATTCACTTTACTGGATCAAGAACTCCATATTATAGTGAAATATACATTCCCAGGTTTTCATATTTCTCTACTTCTGTATTAGGGACTCTAAATCTACTTGAAATTTATTCCAAGACTAATCTAGGAAGTCATTTTTCCCCTCAATTCTGAGTCAATTTTCTTAAAATCGGCCTGTCCTAATTTTTGCATGCGGTTTGAGTCACATTTGTAAGTAGGCTAAAAGGAAATTGCAAGCAGAATTCAAACTCTTGACGACGAAATGAATCCATTAAAAATAAACATGTCCAATTATTTTTCCACTTTCTCATGGTATCTCTTTAAATTTTGAAATTACCTTGAAATTACACTGCCTCTGCTTCAGTCAGGCTGACACGCACACTCAATAGTCATACTGATGAATCTGTAATTCCTATTCAGTTGCAGGTATGTCAAGAATTAAGTAACTTTTCTTCAAACACCTGGCAAACCCTTTGTGTTCTGGTTTCCATATTCGCTAAATTCCCAGAGATAACACTCAACTGCATTTACTGGTGGAGGCACACCAGCCTCAGATGAAATGTCTGTCTTTCTTTTTTGTTCTGAGTCATTCAAAAACAAGTTTCAGAAACTCACAGAACAATTTCAAAGCATACATTCCTGCATTGCCTTTCATCAGAGACACTCATACATCTTAGCAAACTCTCTTTACAACACCACGATGCCATGAACACAGGAGACATGTCAACTTTCACTTCCCTGCCACTCAGGAAGAGAAGTCTGCAGCAAACTGGGGATTCAATTTTCTAGAAGACTGCATGAGCAGCTCAACCAACGCACAAAAAGCGTTTTATTATAGTCAACATCCACTGGGAGTGAAGACCTCTGGCAAAGAGAAAGAGAAGTGAACTTCTTTAAGCTGATAAAGAGTATCTACCAAGAAAAAAAAAATCCAGCAGCAAATGGAATACCTACTGATGAAATGTTGAAAAGTTCCTCCCCAAAGCTGAGAACAAAGCAAGGATGTTTGCAACCCTACTTCCACTGAAGATTGCACTGAAGGTCCTAGCCAGGCCAAGAAGACAAGAATAAGAAGAAGCTATAAGGACTGAGTAGCAATAAAAACGGTCATGATTCACAGACTATATGCTTATGCATGCAAATAAATTATTAGAATATGGAAGTTCAGCAAGTTTGTTAGATACAAGGTCAAAATTTCTTCAAAGAGAAAAATTGCATCTCTATGTTTCAGAAACAAAAAGTAAAACTTCAAAAAAATATTGTTTGCAATACATCAAAAAAAATCAAATACTTAGAAATAAACCAAATGAAAAAAGTGCATGGACTCAACAGAGTTCAGTAAAACAGAAAGATAATATTGAGAGAGGTTAAAGTACATAAAGGGATTAAAAAACTCAAAGATTCAAAGTTTCCCCAAAGCTATTTACAGATTTAATGCAATTGCAAAAAAATCACAAGTGTTTTTTTGTTATTGTTGTTCTTGTTCTCATTCTTGTTCTTGTCTAAAATGTCTCCAAATAGCCCAGACACTCCCGAATAAGAACAATGTAGGAGGGCTTGCTCTATAAAAAATCGGGAATTTTAAAACTACAGCAATTAGGACAATAGAATAGAGAGTCAAGAATGAGAACGATCATATATAGACACTTTGTTTTTGAAACAGAATAGTGAAGTAGATATAGTTTTTTCAATAAATTGATGTCTATACAGGGGAAGGGATTAAGCTTGACTTCTCCCTCATACTATATACAAAAATAGAATTTTTTTCTTAAGATAAAATTCATGTTTTCCATTAATAATCTCTACATCTAGCAATGATATGGTGAAGGAAGCACTCTCATAGGAGCAGTACAACCTTCATGAAAAAGGTCTGGCAATGTATCTGGAAATACGCGGATGAATGACCTAAGCCCTAAGATCGATGATCAATGGGAGTCACAGGTGAATGAACCATGACTTTATCATAGAGCCATGAGACAAGCACACGGAATGCTCTGAAAAACAGCGCTGGGTAATTCAGGAAGTCTTCCTATGTGATTCGCACGGGCCAAGGAGGAGCCACCAAAGGACAGAAGAGCAGGCAAGGGGGCTCCTGCCAGAGAGGACAGCACGGGCAGAGGCCCCGAGGTGTTAAAGAGGGGGGTATATTGAGAGAAACTACCAGTAGTTCTACCTAACTGGCAAATAGGCCACACACGTCAGGGAGTTTTAGAAGGAGGTTTGCTGAAGCAGTCGGAGATCAGTTCATGTGATGGTAAAGGGTTTGACTTTGGCTCTGAAAGCAAGTCAATAATGAATTTTAAGCAGAAATAGGAATGAGGAAACGTTTTGGAGAAAGGCCCCCAGCAACAATGGGATGATACATGTGAGGGGGTCAGCCTGGAAGCGTAGTGATGTGTTAGGAAAGCACTGGAATTACCCAGGCGAGGAGCGACGCGGGCCGTAGCTGAAGCTGGGCGACACGGACAGAGACGTGGAGGCAGGCTGGAGGGTGGGGACCCTAGCGGGCTAGCTGTGTGGGCGAACG